AGAAGTCAGGTTTCTTGGGTTTCTGTGTTTCATTTTTTTTTAAACTAGTGCTGTAGAACAAAGGCACCTACATTAGGCAAGATGGAGGTCTGCTAATGAAAGCAGCAGGACTCTATCTTGAAATCAGCCTCTGGAAGCAGGTGGAAGTAGGGAATATGGATCAGAATGTTGCCCAATAGAAACAACTGTCAAGGTGAGACACGAACAATTATCCTTCCCATGCAACAACCTGCAGGTAGTTTATAGAAGAATTGATTATTAAGTACAGCAAATGAGTTCATATTGTCAAACAACAAAAATAAAGTCAGTAGAGCTCTGCCTCAGCAGAGAATAATTTCACAGGCTTACCCCATAATTATCAGAAGTGTAGATTCTACCCAGACTGATTTCATTCTATATCTGATATAGTTCCTTCTTTTTCAAGATCCCCATCCTGATTGTATTTCGACTTCACCACTCCCTCATGAGTCATAGCCTAGAGGGCAGAGTTGGGGTTTTTTTAAAGAAAGAAAGAAAGAAAGAAATATAGCAGGTCAGAGGGACATATCGGAAGGCCTGTGACTCACTGAAATGGAGAACAGCTTCTGCATGTAGAGGCATCGCTCAGGGAGAGATTGCAGCCTGGCTAATCTAAAGAATGTGCACTTGGCCGGCAAAGGCACTGGGAAAATGATTGTGTTTGGACAGAGGGAAAGAAATTCCTGAAAATATAGGGGACAAGTATGCAAAGGGAGGTTGTGCAAAAGCAAGCAAACTGTTTCTACTCACCAGAAGAATGTTAGCAAGGTTAACTAAAGAGTAGGGGGGGGGGGAATAATTCAATAATTTGAAGTTGAAATATTTGCACTAATAATCCTTTATCTTATCAGCCTTTCCCAAACTTATTCTTTTGCCATGTTTACTATGGCCACTAACCAGGCAATATTCTGAAGAAAATACAGAAAATAACTAATTACAGCTTTTGATAGGTTGCTTTAAAAGATGGTTTTGAAACTTCACCTCCTGCAGAATATGTGGATTCGTTGACCTATTCACAATTTTGAAGCAATTACGTTGGTTTTAACGTATTTCAATACCCATTGCAAATGCTGACTTTTACTTTCCTGAAATAGTTTGGCTTTCATCACATCAGAGAATATAGTCTCTTCAGTTTAAATATGTTCCACACTTAAAATTTTCTAATCAGGAGTGATAGTGATTCCCTTAAGGAAAAGGCACAATAATCTCCACCAGAAGGAAGGCTTCTTTGCAGTAGTATTGGTAATTGGAACTCTCTTTCCTGAAAGTTTGTATTTAGTATCCTCTGAAAAGACTTTGTTAGAGTGACTTGATTGGAAGGTATTTTCATTATTGCATAACTGGAATATTATAAATAGCATTGAATAAGATTGATAATGGGAAAAAATATCCTGAGCAAGCACAAGGTAAATAGATATACATAATTTAATAAAATTAAATATATAAAATATGAAGTTGAGTTTTCAGAATTTACAAGACAAAGTATTTTAAATATGTAACCATTATATTTCAATAGTTTTACATATTATATATTTTCCCCACATACAATATTTTCTTTTTTAAGTTGGAAAATAATTTTTCTTGCTTCTGATGTCAACAATCCAGCACAATAGTAACATGAAAAAACAAAGTCATCTTTTGTTTCTTCTTGCTTTTTTTATATGTTATCTTTTTCTCTTTTTTTTTTGCAATTACAGACCCCAAAGAGCTGCTTTTCCATTTGGTTGCTACACTTGATTGTGGCTTTTAGTACCTGAAAACTGAAATGCACTGGACTACGTTTTCATCAGTCAACATTGTGTATTTCTGAACAATTGATAGCTGATGATAAAACTGTCCTAATGGTTTAATTGTGTGAAGACTGCCAGAATAGAGCCCAGGACTTCCAATTCAGTGACATCACAACTCATGCGTTTTTCTAAGAAGAGAATGCCATTTTCTGACAATCAAAATATTGTGGAGGCTGCCCCAAAGGTGCTTTTCAAAAGGCAACTGGATTTTGTTTTTTCTTTGAAAAAGTTTCACTTCTCATCCAAATTGCTTCAGAACTAAGAAGCAAAACATTTTCAAAGAAAAAACAAAGTCCAGTTGCCTTTTGAAAAGCATCTTTGGGACAACCATGACCTGAATGATTGAGAATCTCCATGGGCTTTGTGGACTCTATGTTGTAACTTAGTAAGCTCTCTTAAAAAGGCATATCCATGAGGAAAGGAGAGGGAGATGATTCTTTCAAGCTAGAAAATGAATGAGTACATTCTTTCAGAAGCCTACAAATTAAGTAGGAAGACTCTGAAATGAATGTAAAAGTAACTCTTGGAAAAGTTGACATGCCTCCAAGAGCCTCACCTTGCTGAACACAAATGCCACCTCTTCATTTCCTTTGAACAGTTGCCCCTGCAGGATGTAACTGCTGAAGGGCAAGCAGATACCTTTGTTCGGCTTTGTCTTTCAAAACTATTTCACCACCCCCAGGCATGACAAGAAGTACTTAAGTAAACTCATTTCACTGTTTTAAATGTAATCACTACAAAAGAATTATGATTCCCAGGATGAAAAAGAAAAGGACAAAGGGGTTGTTGTACTTTGTTTTGTGTATTTTATTATACCTGGTGATTAATAAGAGGCATATCTGGGATTGGTCTTGCTATATGCATATCTGTGCTTTTCATATATAATTTCTTACCTTGATCTATGGTGGGACTAAACAAAACATTTTGTATTTTATCATAGAATAGAATAACAGAGTTGGAAGGGACCTTGGAGGTCTTCTGGTCCAACCCCCTGCTCAGGCAGGAAACCCTATACCATTTCAGACAAATGGCTGTCCAATCTCTTTTTAAAAACGTGGAGCATTCACAGCTTTTGGAGCCAGGTTGTTCCACTGATTAATTGTTCTGTCAGGAAATTTCTCCTTAGTTCTAGGTTGCTTCTCTCCTTGATTAATTTCTATCCATTGCTTCTTGTCCTGCCTTTAGGCGCTTTGGAGAATTCATATCATTTGCTCTGTAATGTACAAAAAAAGCCTCACATCTATTTTGTTATTGGGAATGGTAAACTCCAAAGATCTTAAACATTTCAGAGTAATGTGTAGAATTACCGTAGTTTGTTTCTGAAGCGGATAAAGAGAGTAAAGTGATTTCATCTGGAAAATATCTACCTTTATTGCATGAACCATAAAAAGTGCACTTACGACTTGTGGTTTTGATGATTAGGGGAAAAATGGATAATAGAAAAAATTAAGCTTTTTTTAAAAAAATATCATAGAATAAGCAGTAATTTTGTAATTATATTTGCTGCAAAGGAAATTGGAAGCTTCTTTCTATTTCCTCTTGTCTTTTCTTTGAGCACTTTTGTCTCTCTTTTTCCTCTTTTTCTTGCTTTTCTTTATTCTGTATTAGTTTGTGTTAGTTTTTATGTTCCTTTTAAATATACACACCTCACAATTAGACCATGTTTTGCTACTGTAAAATAGAATCATTAAGCATGTTGCAATCAAAAGTTATTCCAGGGGAAATGGAATGAAGAAAAAAATAAATAAGCAAAATATGTTAATTCCTCAAATTACTTAAAATGTAGAATATAACTGCGGTCAGGTGTAACCATGTACTGGTTCATTTATCACAGCCAATTTTTGAACAAATCTCACCAGATGCTGGCAGAGTATGACAAAACCATTCTTCAATGCAGGTTTAGTCCTTGCTGAGAAGGAACAGTCACAATTTGTAGATCATTGCCAAGCTGTGCAGAACGGCTTCAGCCCTATCCCTGTGACTTCTATGAAATAAAATGAGTCACTAGATGATGATGAATATGCTATTACTAGGCCCAAATCTGCTCTCCATTTTTCCCTTTGAGACAGAAGCATCTAATTTTTATACCTCATTCTCATGTTCTTTCAACATTCCTGCTGATGTTTTCTTTGCTTCTTTGTTCTCAGAGACAACTATTTTTTCCCCTCAAGTATCTTTCCAACTCATTATAGTTCTTTTATGAGACCCTTGGTTCAGTGGTATCTACAGCATCACACAATCACTCACATATGCAATGACACATAGCGATCACCCGGAAAGACAAGTACGTAAGCTGCAGTATTGAGATTATGATTTCATGACCCATTTTACCACATGTCCCCTTGCCTGCTGCAGATATCCATTCCCTGCTTCCTGATCTGAAAAACCCTCATAAGAGAAGTTGTTTTAGAAAGAATGACTGCACAATAAAAGGCATGACACTAATACCGGTATTCATCACTTGACTAGGACCCTGGATTGCCAGCCCTGTTGGAATAGGTACCTCTGGGTGAGACAGGTGGTAGACTTGGCTTAAGACTGTGATATCTTAATCACTTCTTAACTTTTATGCTTATTAGAGTTTGAGATCACCAATAGAAGAAGAAAAAGTCTGCTAGACTTGTAGCTGTTTCTCCCCCAATAATGGAATGCTCTTCCCAGAGAGGTCCACTTGAGGTCTATTTTAATTCTTTCAGCAGGAAGCAGAGAGCCATCTTTTTCTACAAGCTTTTAAATCTCCATATATAGGTTTGTGATTGCTAAAGAACCTGCCATTTTCATATCACTTTACTGTTCATTCCAGTGCATAAAACAGGACCTGTAGAGGGGGTATTATTTCAGGAGAGGCATAAAGAGACCATAGGCTTTCACGCATATTTGATTATTTGAAAGAGAAAGACAACAGTTACTACTGTAAGAAACAAAAACTACCCATATTCCTTAGTTTTCCCCTTATTCTTGGTTGTAATCCTTTAATGAATCAAATAAAGCAATTAAAGAGGATCTGTGAAATCTAAATTGGCATAAAAATGGTTTGGATTTTTTTTGCCAAAGCATCTAATGTTATAATTAAAACAAAGACCTCAGATTTAGGGATACTCTGCCACACCTCTCTTATCCACAGTTATTTCCACGTTCATAAAATCCAGTATTTTTAGCATGCACCAAAATCAAGTACTGGCTGAGTCATACCTCAATACTCATTTGGAACAAGGGAGGGCCTCCATCCTTCAAAGCAGGATAATTCATGAGTCAATGGAATATGTAGTCCCACATTGGAGAGCTGTAATGGTATGTAGGAATGACTTTAGGAAACAGTAAAAAGAGCCACAGCCAGGGAAACAGTAGGCAGTTTAACTTTACAACTGGATTGAGGGAATGACAAATGTCTCAAAAGAGATACTCTTGGGTTTCTTGGATTGTAAAGGTGACATGAGAAAAGGTTACTTCAGACTTGCAAGATCTTGTTTTAATGTAATCTCATAAAATAAAATATAGTTAGTTCACCTGGGCATGCTTTCTCTCTGGACTACATTTCATGACTGGCCTAGTGGCACAAAAATACTTAATTTAACAGTACTTAAGCCAGAGTTTAATTATTTCTTTTTAAGTATCATCTGGATCTAAGATGAGGACTTTCTCTGTTTAAAATTTTGAATTTCCATTTTTTTATATTATACATGCACATACACACAGGTTTTTCTGTAACTTTTGTAATTAAAGAAAAATTACGATTTCTTTATAATTATTGATGATCTGATCTATTACAACGATCAATTCAGTCAACTAAGGATCAAGTTATCAAAAACAATCTAATTGAGAAAAGATTATTATATGTATATCCACTTTTTATAAAACAATGTAAGAAGAGTTTGAATATTTTTACACGTATGCATTTTGCAAATGTATTGGTTGTTTGGGATGCCTTTAATATTCACACCTGTCTTACTGTTTGTATGTCATTGAAAAAGAAAATTGAAAACTTTTCAAAGTTCAAAGGTACCTTTGAGTATGTGAAATATGATCTATACCAAAATTATATAAAGCTTTCCTTGAGTTTTTAATTAAGATGTTAAATCCCTTTATACTCCTGAAACAGAATATTTACTGAGTTACAAACATCAGATATATTGGGAGCAAGATGAAAGGCCAACAAATTACTAGCCTTTTGGCTGAAACAATAGGAACAATGTAATATTATCTCTTCTATTAAGGCTGCCCAAGGAAAAAAAATATAGTGACTTAATTAATCCATTCTTTTTTTCTCTTAATGGTACAATATTGAGTTAAATAAAACTGAGGAAGAAATCAATCTATTTTATATAATATTTGCTCCATGGAATTACGCATGATCCAACTGCCTAAGTGCCTATTTTATCTTATATATAATAATAAATATCATTAAATCTATGAAATCAGGAAAAGCTCCCAGACTAGGTGATTGTCCTATTGAATGGCATATATTGGATTCTATCACCCAGTACAATTGGAAGTCTATAATGATGTCTTTTAAAGTAAGGATTTCTTATTTCCTTCAGTAAGCAAAGTTCCTGCTGACTGTGCAGACTTTTGTCTGACCAGATTGAACACTGATACAAAATATTCACAAAAATCTGGTCAATGAACTTCAGTTGTCACTTTTCACAATCCAGTTTCGTAAAAGAGTTTTGTAATATTTATAACTAATTGGCTTTCTGGATGCTTATTCAGAAAAATTGAAATCAGTAGTGACAGTTTCATTGCATGTAGAAAAGGCTTTTCCTATTATGAAACAATTTTTTTCAAAACAAGTCTTGCTAAATATGAATTTTCTCCTTTACTATTTCAAAAAACGCAGTTATCTCTTCTATCAAAATGTCTCACAGAACCCATTAGAGATAACCTTTATCTCTTCTTATTTTTCTTTTGATATTGGATCCTGACTGCTTATGTTCCTTCAAGGTAGGCAGGGCATGGAACAGATAATACAAGGAATACAAGAACTCTATTGTTATAAAGCAGTATTTGTTAACCTCAGCAACTTTAATTTCATCATTCAGAGATTAATCATGAATCAGTCAGTGAGACTCCTTGCAGAGGATCCCCAAAACCATTTTTTCAACTTCTAAGAGCAAGAAGCATTTTAGAACTTGAAAGTTCTTTTTTTTTTCCCCTAGCTGCTGCTGCTGCTCAGAAATCCTTGACCTTCCTTTGCAAATCTGGTGCAAGTAAAAGTACTAATATTTTGGATCAGTTTATTACTAATACATTTTAAGCCATTTTTGTCATTGCTAGAGAATTTTAGATTACCTAAAATTGAGAAATGGCTGCATGATCATTTTGAAACAAGATTGCAGCAAATAAATTAAATATATAAATAATAAAAATTAAATAAATAATCAATAATCAATTATATCAATAGCATCTGAAATTCCCAAATTGCTATCAGTATCAGAATGTATCTTAGGTAACTTTACTGTATTTTAAGTAAACAATGAAATGTCACAAGGAAGACAAATAAAACAAACATTTCCTTTTCACATTACTGATAAACTTCTAGATCAGGGGTGTCAAATTGGCGGCCCATGGGCCACATTCATCATGTATAGGCCACTCCCACCCTGGCTCTGCAGAGGCAAAAAATGTTGCAATACATCATGATACGTCACATGACGCGATCGAGTTTGACACCCGTGTTCTAGATGCAATTCAAGTTGCTGGTAGGGACATATGAAGCCCTTCGTGACATTGGGTCTGGTTACCTGAGGGAGGACCCTTTTTCCACTACACCTGGTAAGAAAGGGAATAGTAGGCATGTTCCAGGCCTCATCCTTGCAGATTACAGGTCTCAAGAAGCATCCTTTCTATCCTAGTGCTCTCTCCCCACCCCCAAGAGTTGGTTTTGCCCTGATGCTACTACCATCCTTTAAGTGAACCTTGAGGACCTGGCTCTTCCTCCAGGCCCTAAGATGAGACATGGTTTTCTTTAGTTGTCAATCTGGCCTTGTTCTTTTTGAGTCTTAATAGTTTTATAGGTCATGCCTTATTATTGTTTATTTGTTTTTAATTAATTGTTTTAAGCCATTTAAAGTTGATTTTGTTTGGCAGGCCTTTTCATTTGCAAAAATAAACAAATAAAATATCCAGGTGCTTTACAGCAGTGTTTCTCAGTATCAGCAACTTTAAAACGGGTGGACTTTAAGTCCCAGAATTCTCCAAGCAACTTAAAGTCCACCCATCTAAAGTCACTGAGGTGAGAAACACTGCTTTAGACAATGTTTAAAAATGGTTGGCTATCAATCTCAAAAAGTTTAAAATGTAAAACGGGTGAGGGTATATGAGCTTGCCCTATTATTGTTCTCTTTTCGTTCAATATTAATACATTTATTATTATGGTATTACAAAAACCTTGTTTAAGGATATGAATGTACTTTAGGTATCCAAAACCTGGAAGAGATCTCTGTATGAAGAATTGCATATTTATTGATTTTGTGGGGCAGCAAAGTAGACCATATATTGAAAAAATAATGTAGATGCAGATTTATAGTCTTGGATCCCCATTGTGTATTTGTTTTTACTTCATGAATTAGTTCTTCATGGAGGAAAGATTGAGCAATATTATTCTCTGAAGTCAAGGTTTCATGATGCGATAGAAAATCAGGCTGAATGATTTGTTATAAATGGCACATTTTTTGGTTCTTTTCCTCTCTCTCTTTTTTCTTTTTTATGTTCCCTTTTGTTCTTTTTCTCTATTTTATATTAAAGCCATAAAAGTACTTTTTAATTATAAAAATATAGATATCATTCTTACTCCAAGAGGAACCCAGAGCAGTTTTACAAACAATAAAAACATTCATAAACCAACAAAGCAGTTTTAAAGCCTATTGGCTTTAAACTAAAGCCTATTGGCTTTAAACTAAAAAGTGATATTCAAATACTGAAGAGAGATAGATACAACAACCTGCTGCTTCTATTTTCAATTACTTTTTTATACTATTTATTATGTATAATGAGAATAAAGCAATATGGGGATACAAGAGCTTTATAGAAGACAAACAACACAGCAGTTACAACACTGGAAAAAAAACCTATCTGAGGAAAACCCTTAGGAAAGCCAACACTTTACATTGTTTTTATGATTTGAATTTTTGTTTCTGTGCAGTATTAGAATGAAACAAAAGAATAACAGTAAGAGTGATAACAGCAATAGCAACAACATCTGCATGGCAATCAATAAGTTCCTAAAAGTCATTAGTAAATTGACATTAGTCTTCTTTTATAGCTAACACTGAGAATTACATACAAAAATAGTTCTTAAGTTACAGGCTACATAGGTGGCCTTTTCACACTTAGAGAAACTGTGCCCTGTGCTATAGATAAAATATGTCAGTAACAAAACAATTATTTGTTTATCTTTCCTTGGAAAGAAAGTGCGTTATTTTCACAGAATAAAGGTTAAATACCTCATTAATCTTCTGCCTTGCTCCTTGTATTGCAGGAAACACCTCTGGGTAATCAATAGCATTGTGTACCCCAAGGTTTGTCAACCTGAGCAAATTTAAGAGGTGCAGGCTTCAACTTCCAGAATTCAGGGAGTTGAAGTCCAATCATTTTAAAGTTGCTAAGGTTGAGAAATATTGGCCTACACCTACAGTTGTGGTCGGCATTATTGCTGAGCACAGCAAGGTGAACCACTTTGCCTTGCGTGGGCAGTTTGCAAGAATTTGCCCACACCGCTTAGCACTGGTGAGCACGGCCTGAGCCATTCTGACAACTGCTGCCAAAGAGAATATAGGGGAACAATAGCAAAGATGCACTGCCATGTCTGTACATGCCCAGAGAACCTGCTTGTTCCAGGCAGTGTAAATAAAGGTTGTGCCTCTGAGAATGTTATATGTGGATTAGACATCTTTATTGCTGAATTTCCCATGATTAGGTATTTAATGTTATTTATATATAACATTATCTATATAGCGTCGCTATAACTGGCATGATTTGTTTTGAGCCTTTGCATATGCATTCTTTTATTATATGCCTCTGTTTAATGTAGAGGGAACCTTCTCTCCTGTTCATCTCACATTTTCAAGCCTTCAGTGGGGAATCTTTTGCAGATCCTGTATCTGACATCCACAGATGTTTCTGCTTTTTCCAGGATGGAATCAACAGAGTTAAAACTAGTATGTTCTTTGCTTATAGTTACAGGAGTGGAAGTCAAAACATTTATTTTTACCTAGAAACTTTTGTTTTTTCTTTCTTAAATTGCTGTGTGTTTTAGTATTTTTATTTGCACCCACAACCATTTGATATTGGACAACCACATATAAATCTCTAGTAGTAATGGCAGCATTAGTAACACACACTCATGTAATGCACATATTCATGCTAACAAGGGTATTTTTAAGATAATTTCTTGTCCCTCCCAATGGGTGTGAATGCATTCACAAGAAAATGAGTGATGACTGCTAGAGTTTAGAATGGCGTTATTGTATCATTTGGCTAAATCATTTGGCTAAAAGAGTACAGAGAAGAGCAACAAAGATGATCAGGGGACTGGAGGCTAAAACATATAAGTAACAGTTGCTGGAATTGGGTATGTCTAGTTTAATGAAGAGAAGGACAAGGGGTGACATGTCCTTCTCTTCATTAAACTAGACATACCCAATTCCAGCAGTGTTCCAATAGCTCAGGGGTTGCCACAAAGAAGGAGTCAAGCTATTCTCCAAAGCGCCTGAGGGCAGGATAAGAAGCAACGGATGGAAACTGATCAAGGAGAGAAGCAACTTAGAACTAAGGAGAAAGTTCCTGACAGTTAGAACAATTAATCAGTGGAACAACCTGCCTCCAGAAGCTGTGAATGCTCCAACACTGGAAGTTTTTAAGAAGAGACTGGACAGCCATTTGTCTGAAATGGTACACAGATTATTATTATTATTATTATTATTATTATTATTATTATTATTATTATTATTATTATTATTATTATTATTATTATTATTATTATTATTATTATTATTATTATTATTATTATTATTAAATGAAAGTAGACAGATACCTACCTATAACAGAAAAAGTCTTAAAGGATCCTTTCAAAGATGCTTACCATTGAAAAAGTACTCCATATTCAGATATTTCTTTAAGGTAATTTGCACATCCATATGCATATTATTTTACATTCCAAGATTTTACTGAAAGGAGAAGATAGTAAAGAGAAGGGAAGCAATTATGAAGTGAGCAGTTCTTTTTTCCTTAGCTTCACAAAAGATCAAAAATGGCAATAGAGGTGAAAATCAAATTCAGGAAATGAATTCCAACACTTGATTACAATTGTATTAAAAGCAAAGTTTTTTCGGTAGAGATGAAAGAATTATGGCAAAAAAAACTTTGGAATAAATTTGTTTAATCTTCATATTACAATCTCGTTTGCTACTCAGTGAAGTTACTGTAATGGTACATAGCATTTTTGTATTTATTCTGCCGCATTCAGTGCCCTCCATTTATATTAGAAAGATATAGACAAACTACATGATTGAAGGAGTTAGGTTGGACAAAAAAAATATTAGAGTACATACAGGGTTCGCTTTCCCCCCATTGCAGTCACATCTAAATTATTGTTTCATGTTAAGAGTTGACATCTTGCATTTTTATCTTTTTATCAATTGTATTTTATCGCATGAGTCAATAAAGACTCACCTTGTGGTGTGAGATGGATGGCAAACAAATTTAATAATAAATGATGATCTTGCAGTTAATGAAATCTGTTTATGACAATACAGTGATGGTAATACTTTCAAATGTTAGAGTTTTACAGGTTTGATTACTATTATGTTCTATTGCAGTAGTTCTCAAAGTGTAGATGGGGAGATGATCTGCTAAGTCAATAAATAATTTAAAATTTCTCAGTTTTAATTTCTCATACAGTAAATATTGATAGATACAACCCACATAAACCAAAACTCTTTTCCTCAATCATTTTTAAAATGTAGAGAGGTCCTAAGATTAAAGTGTGTAAGAACAGCTGTTCTGTTGTAAACTGCTGCAGACTGACTTTATGGCTGGATGCATGCAATATATAAATAAACAAAAATAAACAAATATAACTGATTTTTTTTAAAAAAAAAACTGCCTTTTTTGCTTCCATGGAGGTTGTAATTTTGCTCTTTTATCCTCAGAACAATTTTGTCAGGTAGAGAGCACGATTATTCCAAGGCCATCTAGTAAACTTCATATTCTATCAAGATTTGAACCTGGGCCTGCTAGCAAAGGAATCTCCAGGGAAATCAGAGTGTGATAAATAACTAAAGCAGCATCAGATCTCTGCTTTTATCATTCTGATACAGAATTCTTTTTGCATTTGCATTTTTGCATGCATTTTCCCATAATCTTAAAAGAACTTTTCTGAATATATCCACATTATATACAATTTCCTTATGAAATGGATTCATAAGGGAGAGGAGCCCCATTGTAAAATACATTGCAGTATTTGGACAAGTGTAAATATCAAACTACATCTTATAGTCTGATATGTATGTGTTTTAGGAAAATGCAAATGTGCACGTGTATACTCTTAGTGGCCACATAGATTTTTTTACAGGATGATCTTTTCCTCTGTACTGGTTCTTCAAATATTTCAGTGATACATGCCTAGCCACATAACTGAAGGGTCTATGACAACTCGTCATGGCCAACTCGACACGGGACAACTCACCATGGAACAAGAGTTACACTAATATCAAAGAAATAGTAGAATAGAATAATTAAAGAAAAGATGCCAAAGGAGGGATGAAATGAAATGTGAATGAGTTGGCCATGGCAAATTGGCCAGGGCAAGTTGACCATGGTGAATTGCTTATGGCAAGTTGGCTGTGGCGTGTTGTCCCATTCCATAACTGAATCCATCCACCTTGATGCTGGTCAGAATAAAGATCAGGTTAATAGAGAAAATCTCTTCAGACATCTCATTTGGCACATGGAAAACAAGAGATCCATCAAATGAGGAAAGAGAAAGCCTGACATTTTATTTGAGCTATGCTTCATAATTTAGCTTCTCAAAAAGGATATGTATCCTGACATTGTCCCCCTTAATACTAATTTTGTGATGAAGTTTTTATCATCCCTTGAAATACATAGAAGAGAATGATTTAATTTCTGAATCCTCATGATCCGGACCCAAAGATTTCTGTGAAACTTACATCTTCCTGCTCCCTTCATTCTTTCATTTCTTTTGATGCTCTGCCATAGTGAAGGCAAGCTGCAGGGGCAGAATCTAGACCTTACATAACAGTTTCAAAAACAGATGGAGATTGATTAGCTGAAGATGAGCTAATGGTTTACAAGTATATAAGAAATACTGATGGACAAATCATCTCATGGTGGGTTATTTCTCACCTGTCGCAGTCTGAGAGAATAATAGTCATGATCCATCCTTCTGTCACAAGTCACTTTTTTACTAAAAGAAACATTGTGATTCACTTGCTAGATGGGTGCCAACTCATTAACTGAATGCATGAGTGAGTTCTCCACCACCTTCTTCGTTTGCCTAGAGTTTCCTGAAGCATCTCTTATCAAGACCCCATCTGCTTAGAGGAGGAATGACAACTATCCTCAGCATGACACTGGCATCTCAACTTGCAATAAGCCTTCCGTTTCATCATGTTCTCAAAGTCACCATGGAACCAGATGGCCCTGGATAGGATGATTTCATCTCTTTTTAAATACGGTCATTCCTTCTAGTGAATTCTGGGAACTGGGTATAAGTGAACTCTTATATTAAGTCCACAAAATTCTCCTGAGAATATATCAGCAAGGATCAATAATCAGGATAATTTAACTCAAATGTAACCTATCTAAATATTTGATTGACATCTAATCAAAGGAAATAGTTCAATCTTTGTTATGTGTACAATACAGTATCAATAAAAATACTTTTACTTCACTTCGTATTTTAATTTTCTGAAACAGCTTATGCTATTCCCTATATGACATGCATCTGAAGAAGTGGACTTTTAATTCACAAAAGCTTATGCATAATAAGTATATAGGTCTTCTAGCCCTATAAGATTTTTCTTTTTACACAGAAGTAGGGTATTCTAAGAACGTACTCTAAATTATCTAATGATGCATAATCTGCAATTCCGACCCTGGAATGTATAGTGCGAAGAGAGAGGAAGCAATATTCAACATTACTTTTTGTTAAAACTCTCACTTTCACAGACCCCTGCATGTCCTCCAAAATCTTCTTCAGGAGAACCACAGAAAAGAGACTAATACCCTTCCCTTTATATGGGAATTATCCATATAAAAAAGACATTGTCTGAAATAAAATGTTCCACTCATAAATTCTCAAATTGTAGGTTGGGTTATTAATTGTACCAATAGCTGTCTGCTATTAGCAATTAATTGATACTGTCAATTCACTCTATTCAATGATAAAAATGGTTTCCTGTGGAACCTTAAACTACAACTTATTTAACAAAAAATAATATTTAGAATTTGTTGAACTCCATTAACGTCTGTATAGAAAAGGACTGTC